ACACCTAAAGAAACAGGTCAGTCAATCCAGAGGATGTGCAGCGGTGGTGATTTATTAGTTTGTTTTGCTCAGAGTTTATCTTCTTGCGAATGGCTGCTGATATAAGCTGATCTCTGCGATAGGAGTTATATAACTGAGTGACACTCTATCCAATCTGCATTGAGAGTACAGAATGTAAGGGACACTCTGCACACAAACCTTTGACACGAGGTAAACAACACCCTGTGTGTTCTTCAATTAAATAATGCCTGTAGTTTAAAGAGGGCTCTGTTTATATGAGGAAGGCGATTAAGAGGTGGATGTATAACTATTTAGCTGAAGCGGTTGAGTAAGTTTTGATAAAGGTCAGGTGTGTACATCTGTGCAGTGTCAGCAGTCATCTGGGGGCAGTTGATGAGAGTGAAGAATGCATGTCGAGGGTTGGGGTGGGTTGATTACAGATGTGACTGAAGAAATGCCGTGTTTAAAGTCTGAGGTTGAAGGTGTTTAGGACAGAGGCGTGTGGAGGGTGTGTGAGGGAAGTAGCGCTCTAATTGGTTGGAAGCTTCTCGGCTTTTGTTGTTGTTTTTGAGCTCTAAAGGCTTTAACTGAAAGACAAGACGGCAAAAAAATGTAAGGTATGATGGGGGAAGGATGAGAGAAAGAGGTCCTGCTAAAGGCCTCCGAGCGAGATGTTTCACCCACATTTCACAGTTTAAATGTCACCGGGGTCATTCAAGTCAGCACAGAGCAACGACAGAGCTTCTGCTGTTACATTTAGAGTTTTAAAAAAAACTTGAGCTGCAACATAAATCACCCTGCAGCCATGATAATATCTCTGCTCCCTTTTCTGTGACTCTTTAAACACAGAAAAGTGCTCAGCGCTGTTTCGACAAAGATTGACGTACACAAGTGTGTTTTGGGGACACATTCCTTTTCCTAGTATGCTGTTTCCTCTGCCAACAAAGTTCCTAGAAAAACACTGCTGTATGTTGTCAGTAAGAAGCCAAAAGGATTTTTTTTTTACTTTATAATACAAGCTATTCTTTGAAGCTATCATTCGCGAAACACACAGTGTACATTTAAAGTCTGAGTCATTATAATGACAGCCATGTTTCTTGTCATTATCTCCTCTTAGGTGGCCTCATCAGCTTTGACATTTTCCCAGAGGGCTGGGACAAGAGACTCTGTTTAGAGGTGCTGGAGAGGGAAGGCTTGGATGCCATCTACTTTTTTGGCAATGAGACCTCAGATGTAAGTTCAGTCATAAACGGTTAAAAAGCAGGAATGTTCTGGAGATTACAACACCCCAACTGTATGTGATTGTGAAATAGCTCATTGATTGGCCAGTCAGGCTTTCATTTTTCATATTTTGTGCTTTGGCATGTTGAAGACAATTGTGAAAAACTCTTCACATGGTCACAACTCATCAGCCACAGTGTAACCACTCTCTAAGTAAGGCCTTGTTGTACCTCTTGTTTTCCTATGATGACAATAATTTATAAAATGAATGTTTATTCTATTAAAAATGACTTGAAACTATAACTTCCTAGGGAAGTGTTTATGATTTCTATCCAGTCCGACTTGTTTTAGCTAACAGAGAAGTCCTCCCCCTTCTGGCCGTTAGAAAGAATGCTGGTCTAAAGGTTTAAAGCTGACTTGCTTTCACTTTTACATGAGATGTTTAATTGGCACCAAGGAGTTTTGCAGTTTCAGTAAGCCTGTTTATGTTTTTCCTAGATGTTTTCATTTATGAGCAATTGCATATCTAGAAGAAGTGCAGAAATTTGACAAAGTGACTTCCTGGATTAATAGCATTAGATTCTACATGTACTGGCCACTTCATTAGGTACAGGTCAGAATGGGGAAGAAGTGACTTTGAACGTGCCGTCGTTGTTGATGTCAGATGGCCTAACGTGAGCGTTTACACAGAAAAATAGAAAATATCAAGCGGGCTACAGAAGCAGAAGATTTGTTGTAAACAGCATGAAATCCATCCTGCCTTATGACAGTGGTTCAAGCGGCTGGTGGTGTAATGGTGTGTGTACCAATGAGCATCATTTAAACACATCAGCCTATCTGACTATGTTCATCCCTCGTACCATCTGACAAATTTTCAGCAACTGTCTGATGCTATCATGTTGATTTGGACCAAAATCTCTCTTTGAATCAGTTTGATAAGTTTTGATCAAAATTCATTTTTACCATATTTGACAGAAATAACGTGGAGACGTATAACTTAGTTTTTCTATGAGGATGTAAAAGGGTGTAGATGTGAAGAGAAACAACTGCACTTCTGGGAAACCCTGGAAAGACTCCTGCTTGTTAAGTGTCCATTCAGTTGTTTTGCAATCTCAGTCCAAAGGTCCCAGAATAATCAGGCCTCAGCCAAATGAAGCTTTATCTGTTTTTTATGGTTTGTTTTGCTCAGAGAGAACAAAACAAGCCAAACCAGGCGGCACTAATCTAATGGTTTTTCTTTTCTCTCTGCAGGGAGGAAACGACTATGAAATTTTCAACGACCCACGGACCATCGGCTTCACGGTCTACTCTCCAGAGGACACAGCTCGGCTCTGTCGGGAGCTTTTCTTTGACGCTTTACCACATGAGTCCTGATGTCCCGAACTGCCCCCTTTCTCCTCAAGCCCCGTCTGAACACGAGTCTGTGGCCGTCTGCTGGCGAGCTCAGGCTGTTTTAAACTGATGAAAGGTACCAATACCGATCTCTCCATGTTTTTAATATTTCTACTAAATTTAAATGGACTGAAGCGGGGTGAATGAGCTACACCTGTTCGGAAAGTCGCAGTTCTTTTTTTCTTTTTTTTAAAGAAGGGACGTTGACGAGGGAAGTGTTACATGTGCGGAGGACTGTGCCCGGAGATGTGCTCTGACCGGAGAGGTGCTCTGACCGGAGAGTCACGTTACTGTGACGTGTTATCACGTTCACTTTGAGAGATTGTAACACTTGATGCAGTTTTTTAAAAATGTAAGACTTGCACTAATGCTGACATAATTTTTGCCAATGTATTGTTTTTTAACTCTGCTGATGGAGGCGAGCAGTGTGAGAGACTGACATTAAACAGGTGATTTATGGGATTTTCTATGAAAACGAGATTGGAATTAAGGGCCTTTCTTAGATCTCAAGTCGAGGATACAGAGGAATCATTCCAGATGTTTCTAATGTCTGAACTGTACGTGTTTGACTGTTTTACCATGTGATCACAGGAACATTGGATTTTTGTTTTAACTTCTTTAACAGAAAGAAGCTTGCTGCCATTTCTCATTCTGCTTCTCAAAGCTTTAGAAATCACATCCAAGGGAAGTTTCTAAAGATTCTTTACTGTAATCAGTGAATTAAGCTACTGTCACTGTATACTTATGTGGCTCAATATGGAAACTTTTTCTTACAAGCTGGGCTTTTGCCTGCATGTGATACACGTGACTGCATCTGCTGATGGTTTTCCAGTTGTACGACATTATCAACAGCTGCTTAAAATGGAACATTCAGGCTCATTTCCAGCTGTTTATATTTATTCTTTGACTCATGCTGATCAAACTAGTCTTTATTTATCCTACATTGAGCCTTGCTGCAGATCGTCCTCTGTCTGAAACAAGCCACTTTAGCTCCTCTCCTCTTATGCAAGCTTTCTTCTGATTGGCTGCTTGTCCTAAACCAAAGGTTTGAGAACAACAGGAGAGAATTGGGTTCTGAGGATATCAGTAGATGGAGCCGATATTGGAAAAAACTCAGTGAAACTAAGGTTTTAGAGCAGTCTGAAGCTTGAGGTGTTCATTCATGTACAAGCATAATAGGTCCTCTTTAACCGCCTGGTGTCCACATATGTGGACATCACATTTTGGGTTATTTAGACCAAAATACTCAATTTTGCTCTACAAGGGCCTGATATCCACTTACGAGGACATTATGCTGCTACTGTTCTGTCGAAATTTTAAACGAATATCCTCATATGTGGCTCTTATTTTTCTTAAAAACAAAAATAAGGTAAAAAAAAAATAAAATCTGGTAATTCTTTGTTTTTACATTCATCGGGTCCCAATCAGCCCAAATATCAAAGAGAAATTAAAAATGCATGCTGTGGAAGAGTTCGGGTCTTAGGAGGTTAAAGTGTTTCAAAAATGCCTTTTAATGATATTTAAAATGTGTTGGCATCATTTTTCAGTCACATCTGTTATTGGTTTGAAAAAAATCATCGTACTTCATGGATCATTGATGCGAATATGTGGATTTTAGTAAGTCATATATGGAACATATCTGTTTCTGACTGTAAGCACTCCTTCAACCTGAAAGACTACAGGGGTCGTGTAGACTGACATGCACATCTGGATATGAGCCTGTAAACTGACTGTAAGATTGGTAACATATGGATGAAAATGAACTGTATTAAATGTTTATTCATTTTGTGTTCAGTGTGATATGTTGTCTAAGGACCTCAATGTGTTTTCCAGTAACTCTTTATTGAAAATCAAAGTGTGCAGGAATCACTTGTCTACTTGTTTCTCCAGTCAGAGCTCTCTGTTGGTGTTGGTGTTTTTCTCAGCTATTTTACATGTGAAGCACTTCAGGCTGACAAAAACTTTCTCTGTAATCTTGTCACGATTCCTTTCCTGGGTGTGCTAACACTGCAGAGACAAAAAGTCCAGCTCCACCTCTCTGTGGTTGAATTGGAGACTGAAGCCAGAAACAAAGCCAGATTGGGACGGTGGCTCTTCAGTAAACAGCCTTTTACCTGTCTTTCTATACCCAGTCACTAGATGGCCTCTGACTTAGAGCTGCAAGATTGTCATTTTATTCATGCTTTTTGTTGCAGCTCTTTTTCTCGCTTCCTCCTTCTTTGTTGTCAACTTCTTTGACTGTTGTCAGCTGATTATGGTGTGATAAGCCCCTATTCCTGCACATGATCCACATCCTGCCTTCCACCCTGACCACCACGCTTTCCCCCCACTGACTGGACATGTTCAAGTTGTCCTATCCACCAATCAAGCTGCAAACATCATCACTGCACTGGCTGACTGTCCACTGGATGGATTATAATATCAGGTTGTACTTGTTAATACTTAGTTTTATATTGAATATATCTTAAACAAACCTTAATAATTTCTTTTCTAATTAAAAACCCATTAAACCATTGAATATTATATTTCATGTAACTAACTGTGCATGAAATAGTTACCATAGAGGCTTGTTACTCATACAGCACATACTTACATTTAAAATGGTCTCAAAGAGAACTTCTATTGTGTTAGAAGCAAAATTAATCAGTCTCTAATAAACTGTTTAAGGGAAAGAAAAATCACCTTTTTCCTTGTTTACTTATGTGATTTTTTTTATCAGTGCTTATTTCTTATACATATTAACATCTTAACAGTTTAAAACAAGACTCTCCAGCAGCTACATCCACAAGAAACAGCCATTTCCTCTGCAAGCCGTCTACCACACAAGCTGCCTGAGTTGCAGTGGTCAAGCATTTTTCAAAATAAACACACCTTCCAAGAGTCAAGTGAATCATAACCTGCTTTAATGTTCTTTCAAGGCTCAGTAGAAGTGATGACTAGGATTACCACAACGGTGGCTCGTCTACAGAAAGACAAAAACACCAATTAATGAAGTAAAATTTCACAATGAAAAAACTAAAAAAATCAGGCAGTGACACTGACAGAAAGACAGAGACTCAGTGGAACGCATAAAATGATTTACAGTACAGTTTTCAACCTGAAGAACAACAATATGACAATATGCACTATTGGCACCCAGCTCTGCAACTCTGCAGTCAAGTTGGTTGCAGCCCGTTCTCGTTCTCATGGCGTCTAATACTCCCGTTTTGGTAAAGCCACTGGCACACACACGGTGGCCTTTTAGGTTTAGACATTAGGTGTGTAACAAAAACCCTTTGGGATCACATTTTTCCCCATCTTTCAGGATTTATTTTTACATTTTTGCATTTGTTAGTTAGTACAGCGAAAGGAAAGTGGTGAAATAATTAGGCCTGAAAACTAAAATCAGCCAGAAAAAACCAAGGAAACAACATTTCAAAGTGTTAAGCTCTCAAACAGGAAGCAAACAAATGAATCCTGGCAAACTATCTTCTGAGTTGCAGCACCACCTTCCCTGCAACCTCCTCATGTGGACTTTAAAAGAGGACCATTAACTTGCAGCGTGCACAAATGCCACAGGCAGTGTGTTGAGGTCCAGACATCAAAGGACATCTTATGCATAATTTGGCAACACAAGCCGCATCTGAGAGAACAGCAGGATTTGACGCTCTGGGATGAGAACGCATTGGCAGTTCACAATCACAATGACTCAGTAAATCACACACACATATATATGTTTCTATGAACAGAAAACAAAATGTACACACAAGTAATCCATGGCTCCAGATCCTTTGACGAAAGGATTTTTTTAAAAACAAACTAAGACAAATGTCTCGAGTACCGCTGCAGTTTTCGTATTGAAAGTTTCTTAAGTGCAACTTTTAACTGCATTATTTGAAAAACAAAGCAGCCTGACATACAGACGCACAAACAAACCAACAAGCGAACGATAAAATGAAGTGACCACAAACAAGACAATACAGTAAAAGGTGGTTATTCTTAAAGGAAACGCTTGCAGTAACCTGTATATATTTCATATTTTTGAAATGTTAATGTTTGATCTTGTCTGCCTCGGTCTCCCATCACAACAGACAACATTTAAAAGTTTACTCTAACATTGACAATAACACAGAAGAACATTTCCCTCTCAGTTGTGTGTCTTAAAATGGTGATCTGAAACAAAAAGGAGGTCCTGTCATGGGTGCAAATATGGAAGTAGTTACTGTAAGATTTGTAGGGATTTTGTTTTTGTGGGTTTTTAATGCTAAACCAGTTTTAACTTCTTTAGATCTTTTCAGACTTAATACTATTTTTTAAATATTTTAACACATTGAATACAAAGTTCCTACTCATCTGTTCAAAGTTGGACATGTGAGTATGTTGTGATAAGTGATCTGACCCAGACATGTGATCCCTGAAACTTTGGTGAGCTGCTATCAGGGGAAGTAAAACCGAATCCAGCCTGTTGTTCAACTTTCTCTGCCCAGTTTACTCCTCACTTATGTCAGTTTTCAGAATAATATAACAGCATGATGTATTTTCTACTTTTTCATCCTTTACAGACCCATCCTTTCAAAGCTCTCACAGGTCAGTTTACAATCCCAAACAAAATTCATGAGAGCAGTGGACACTTTTGAACAGGACATGTCAGCTCTGTAGGGTAGACACAAAAACAACTTCATTATTGACTCTTATTAACACCAGGCATGTTTTCTGTGAAAGGATAACCTTTAAAAAAAAGTGTCAGTCCCAGAGCACCTCTTTCAGCGCACACCAAATCCAGTCCAGTGCAGCCCAACAGGCCCACAGCTCTCTCCCTACGAGCTGATGATCTGCCCAGACCAGGTCTCATGTTTCGTTCCTGGCTTGAGGTGTGTGATCTTCACCTCCACCGCCTGCACCTTCAGGTTTTTGGGTGGGACCCGGCATACTTTGTATGTGACTTCATCTCCCTCGACTGGGACGTATTCCCCCTCGATGCTAAAACGTAGAAAATTCAGGACAATGAAACAGAATTAGAGCGTTTTGCTTTGCAATGAGGATAAAAGCTGACAGGAACACAGAGTGAGGGAAACAATTATTTGATCCACGCCGGAATTTGTAAGTTTGCTTGCTTACAAAAAACAAAGTCTCTAATTTATATGGTAGATTCAATGGAAAACGAAGCAACAAAAGAAATCCAGAAAAAAAGAACAGGTTACATGAAAGTTATCAAATGATTTGCATGTCATTGAGTAATAATGAGTATTTGATCCTCAAGCAAAACATGACCTAGCATGTGGTGGGGAAATCTTTGTTGGTTAGCACAGTTTATTATAGTCGGTCACCAGGTTTGCACACATCTCATGAGGGATTTGCTACTTCTCTTTACTACTACTCCTATGTTACTCTTTACAGAAATATTTTAGTTTTCTTTGCTGTTGCTTGGCAACTTAAATCACCAGCTCCCTCCACAGATTGTCACGGTTCTGGGTCAGTGTTGACCCAGCATTTTGAGTTTCTTATATTTTGGTCTATTTTTGCATTATGGATTATTTTCTGATGTTCTGGTGCTTTGTTTATTATCATTATTATTATTATCATTATAGATCTGTTTCAGTTATTCTTGGTGAGGGATCAGTTCTTAGGTTTTGGGTTCTCATGTGTATTGCAGTTTCTGTTCAGTGTCTAGTCTGTCTCTGTGTCGTGTCTGCATCTTTGTTTAGTGGTTCCTTGTTTCCTGTCTTATTGTGAAAGTCTTTGTCTTATGTTAGTGTGTGCAGCTTAGCTCCCCCGTCTCGTTAGCCCTGATCTCCCCCAGCTGTGTCTCCCTTCTGTTACCCATTCCCTGATTACCACCCTGTGTATATTAGCCCTGTGTTGTCCTCAACCCAGTGTCGCATCGTACCCTCAGATCCTGCCTTTGTGTTCCAGTTAGTGTTTTCATGTTTGGTTTCTGTTTTGTTGGTGCCAGCAATAAAGCTGTGGTTTTCAGTTATATTTCCATCTGAGAGTCCTGCACTTGGATCCACATCTCCACCTGCCCGCACACAGAGCCCTGACACAGATTTTCTATCAGACTGAAGTCTGGAGACTAGTTTGGCCACTCCATGACCTTAATGTGTTTCTTCTTTAGCCTCTCCTTTGTTGGTATGTTTTGGGTCAGTGTCATGTTAGAAGACCCATCCACGACCCATCAGTGTTCGGCCTGAGGGAGGGAGGATTGCAGTACATTGCCACATCTATTAGTTCCTGAACAAACTGAACCTGTCCTGTACCC